ATAATATTTGCTTCATGGAAAAAAAAAGGAAAGAAAATTATTTTCCACAGGGCATAATAAAATTAATATTTTCCTCAGCTCTGCCTACACTCAACACTAACCGTACCGACACTTATCCGGGCAAATGACCGGTTACGAAATAATCATATTTCTTCCGAAAGGAATGCAGGTGATTGTCAATTTAATATAGGAAACAGCCTTTAGATAATAATATTAAAAAAAAAATTACATATTTTTATTTTTAAGAAAATACAGGGGAAAAAAGGTGCATGGTTTTAAATTGAAATTTCAAAATCGGTCATTTGACATGGCCATGGTACGGTTAGTGTTAAGAATGTACTCCTGAACTTTTATAGTTGTATTCGATAAAATAACGAAGTTATAGGTCGTTTAGTGTGACACATCAAAGGAGAATCTAAATTACACTGAAAACTTTAAACGCGTTTTTCTCGGAACCGTTTTTTGAACTGGTTGCCACGATCTGGCAGAAACTATTGAACCAATCGAACTCAAATTTTGCACATGGCTTCGGAACATGTGTGGCTATGGTCGGTAGTAAAATGATACCAAAATGTATATTTTTCTGATTTTTAGAGCCTCTGAAAGACGAAAAAAAGTGGAAAAAATCGATACTTCGTATTCAAAGTGCCGCCTTTTTTTAAATTTTCAATATTTTTCTTTTATTCTACTACCGACCATAGCGACATGCATACTAAATAAGAATCAATTGGACTTTTTAATTTCTGATAAGCAGAACAGCTCAAATCATGGCTACCATGGACCTACTTTTTCTTTTCATGCTCCTGTTTCACGTGTTCCACAGCAGCCATATTTAATTATTTTTCGACAGAAAAAATTTGTAATGATTCTTCAAGGACGAGTAAATACATAGGAATAAAGCTCGTGTTAATAACTGTTACCGTACTTCTGTAATAAATTAGCAAAGAAGGCCTAAAAAAACGGCTGCCACACTAGAGGACCCCCTTAAGGGGTTATCCCGTATAGAACAGTTTTAGCACTCTTTAAGAAACGCAGTTGCATAATTTTTTTAAACGTTGCACACGAAATTTATATTAAAAAATTAACGTAACACGCCAAAATCCGAGTGTAAACTAACTTTCAAACGAATAGTTTTGCATTGTTTACAAAATTCCAAAGATTTTCTATTTGGGATAACTTCTCGAATTTCACGACAGGAACACCAATTACTCTAAAAATTCTTACGCGGCGGCCGCACATCCCCCGCTTCTACTGGAAGCTGATCCTTTAGACGTTATTGAAGCGGAATTTGACGTCTTCGCTTTGGAAGCCATTCTGCCTCTGGAACCGGAAACCTGACCCTGCATCGAACTACCGCTGGAGATGGACGAAACTGACGAAGGAGGTCGAGCGGATGGCGTGGAAGGTATCTGTTTCTGACCAGCACAAATGTTGAATAAAATTAATTGTAATTAAAAATAATACAGTCGAAAATGACATCTGAATGCATAGTCAGCGTGAATAATTCAACGACTGTTAATCCTCGGACAGCGAATGGCGCGGCAGTCGCACGCACAGTGGATGTCGGGTCAAATATGACCCGGTATTAAAATCGCTTTTTTATTTTACTAAGTGTTATATTGGTTAAAATTTTATGGTTAATATGACAAATGTAATTTTAATTTTAATAAATTTATAATGTAATGTGTTCTTTACTCTTGTTAATAAATTATTATTATTATTTCAAATACACTCTCGAAACCTCAATCACAATTGGTCGCGTTATACTTTGACAGCGCTAGTTTCTCAATGCGACATAAAAGGGACACATTTTTAACTAAAAAAACAGAATTCTTTTTGTGCTGCAGGTGATTTGAAAATTTTCCTGTAAGATGCACTTGATGTGTAAAAATACTCCATAATAACTCCATCGTAACTAGTGTCTCTAATTTCTTTTAGAGTATAAGAAGGCGACTTTTCGTTGCCTTCAGGCGAAGAAAAATAGGCTTCGCCTGTTGAAAAAAGAAACTACAGAAACTAAAAAGACAGAATTCCTTAAGACCTCAACGAGTGTCGTACCGAGACCATCAAGAGCTTGCAACGCGGACCTTTTGCGTATAAGTTTACCCTCGCCCTCGGTATTCTCGTCAGGATTTTTCTCTTGCTTTCTAAGAAAGAAGCATTCTCCGGACCTTTCCGTGCCCAGGATCGCTTTCCAGCTTTATCAAATTATTCCTATGTTTCCTTCTCAGCTGTACACGAGTTCGCCTCACTTTATCATCTCGTAAGCAGAGTAAAAACCACGCTACAACGCTTTATTTCATCACGAATTTAACATTCGCTGAATTCCACGTTCGTAATAAATACCTGCTAATATTACCGTTTAATTGAATTACTATGGAACCATGAAATTTCACTTGCAGAAGCCTCAATTGATTAAAATTTGCAGGAAGAGGAATCCATGTGTAGCAAAACCTGGATTGCCCCAGTTAATTAGCGTCACAGAGCAGGAGACATTTTACTATAATTCCTGTCGTAATTTCCTATCGATTGCTTTTCCTATTTCTTTCTTTCGCTTCTAACTTCGAGTCGTCGCGGCAAAATTGCGCACGATATTTCACGGGAACTGCGTTTCGACGATGACAGACAAGCGATTTAAATGTAAGTTATAATATAAGTAGCGTAATAGATAAGTATTAAGAATACCGTGAATTGTCCGAGGTAAATTCTTTCTTTGTCATTTACATTGTAATCACAGGAGTCCCAGAGATTGTACAAGCATATAATAAAATTTTGAAAAATTTTTAATTAGGTTATGCTAGCTTAAGCATTTGCGAATCGGTGCTCTACAAGAGTCAGTAAGCTTGGATTCTACAAGTGACAGTATAGATGGTCCTACGCCTAGGTCTGCGTCATTGCTGCTACACCAGTCGGTTTCCTTTACGAGATTTCACGGCTCGACAAATCATAATAGAAAAATATAATTTCTTTAATTTTAACATGTTGGTGAGATTTTTCTGATGAAAATTTATATTACTTTCAATATTATTATTGAACTAAAGTTTCGTAGAACGCGAGTGAAAAATTGAAAGAATGAATATAAGAAAATTTGAATAAAATACGCGACGAGAATTGGGGAGAAGCATAAGTTAAACGCGTAAAAATATTCAATAATAAACGAACTAGGGATGAAGCTATTATTTCAATACGCGATGCACTGACTCTAGTATTTACTAAAATTCAAAAATTCTCGTATAAATTCCGAAAATAGATTATTAATTACGGTAAACTACTGAGACGGTTTAATTTAGGGTGGGCATAGTGCACTCGTTCCAAATCAGCTCACAATATACAATAATAAATCAACTAACTACTTAACATGCAATTCATGCAAATTCCTTGGATGGTAAATTATTAGTAAACAAAATTCAATATCAGAGAAAATATCTGAAAAATTTCAAATTAATTTGAATTGCTGGAAGAAAAGTAACGAAAAGGCAACCTCTCAAAGTCATTTCAATATCCTATTCGACAAGTCTGAAGAACAACGATGACTAAAATTCAAATGTTTATTTCCCTAAACCTTCAACATAATTTCGAAATATTTTATTCGAAGCGGAGTATTCCAAGTCAGTATCGATAATTGAAGAAATTATTTGATTGTATTTAAAAGAACCGAAAGGAGAATATTTAAAGTCTGATATTAAATGTCTAGCAAGTACCAGTAATTGGTAAAATGATTTATATTTGTTTTAAAAGGAAAATTTCTAATAGGTATTAGTTAAAATGAATTATTATTCAGTCTGTTGAATTCAAATTCTAATTGACTCTAATGTATACAAGTGCTACAAGAAGGCTGAGTGTGTACAGGGTGGACATAGACTAGTTAGTAGCCCCCGACCGCTCTATTCACATCTCAGAACCTTCAGGTCAAAATATGCCACGAAGTGTCTAGGGCCCAGTATAAAGGGTGAATGATTTCGCGGAGCCTCCGCGGGTCCTTATATACCTTTGGTACCCCCTCCCCAAAATCATTAGCAAAATCGTCGGTTAGGTCAGGCGGGAAATTTTCGCGGGAGATTTCCGTTATCGCAACACGGTATAATTTATCAATTTTCACAATTATGTTATAAATCTATACTTCCGACAATTTGTTATAACATTGCATATAACAATTTATACGTTTTTACAATATTCTTCAATGGAAACATAGGTTTTAGCGTTCTCGTTACTTACTCGTGGTTAAATTAATTTCGTAGGGATTAAAAATCAGGTTGACCTGTGGTCGTAGATTGAAAATAACCATAGTACAGCTAAAGTTATCGTGTTAAATAATTCTCTTTACACGAATGAAAAATGTATTCATCGTTTGTTTGTTATAATATCGTGAAATGAATTATATTACACATTTTCTCTATTCACACTGAATTTAAAGATTATAACGATTAAAAATCAAGTTGACCTGTGGTCATTTATCAAGAATAATCATAATAAAGCGAAATTATTATGTTAAATAATTTTTTTAATACGAATTAAGAATTTATTCAACGTTTGCTTGTTACAATACCATGAAATATATTATATTATACGTTTTCTATATTTACACTAAATTTATCGTTCTATTTACATGTCATAACAATTATAACTACACGTTATGCTGCGTCCGTTTGTTTTTTCTGCGCAGTTCAACATAATTTACTTAAATTTACGTTGCGAGACAGTATAATATTTACAATCCTGCCTGAATTTTTGAAATTCAGAAAAACACAGGTAAACTTCCATTGCATTTAAACGATATTCTCCACCAAACTGGACAAAATACAGTAACACTTGTACTGTCACTAGTGGAATCGACCCAACATTTTACTGACACTTGTGGAATCAACCCTACATTTTTTGTTTTTTTACGTGGAGGTAGACCGACTCCTACATTTTACTGACA